GTCATATTTGTCTAGTAATAAAATTCTTGTGATCAATTTACAGTATCACCACTCATCTACGTAACTCATCATCGCGTGCACTATGTTTTTAATGTATGATAGTAGAAGGTAGTCAACGGGATATCTTCATTGACCTAAGTTTCGTGATATTTGTCACAAATAGTCACCAAGGTGTACGTACATTATTGAGCGAACTGATGGGATTCGAATCCGTTTTACACACCTTGACAGTATGAAACGTTGCCATTGAGGCAGGAATAGTTCATTGAATAACAAAAGACAAATTAAACTACGCATCAAAACTGTAACTGAAAAGCAGAAAAAATCAACAATTGACCAAAAAGCTTATGTTTTGAATAGTAAGCTAGTAAAGATACGTCTAACCATAGGTCTAACTGAAGTTGGAATAATGTTTGCGAAAAATTTGAAATTTGTCATGGAGTTCCAATTGAATTCTAGTGTTGATGTATACAATATTAAAAGCAATGAAGTATAGAAATCTTTATGAATACGTCTGAGGGTATCTAAGCGATAGCTTAAAGATTAAGGTGCCAGAATTTCAACCACTAGGTTGCAGGTTCGAAATATAATGAACCTACTTTGATTTCCATTAGCCTGATCGAGTCAACAGCCCCCCCCCATAGATAAAAAAATGACTAAAAGTCGATTATATGAACTGATACTAACTGTGTTGTATCGAAGCAGTTCGATGTGTTAAACACTTCATTAAAATATTTAAATTAACGTCTAGATATGAGTCCTTGAAAAAACTAAAATTAATTAGGATTATAGCAGAAAATTAAATAAAGAGAAAAAGATTGTCAACAAACATCTTAATATAAAACGTAGGAAATCTCTAAGAACGAAAACCAACTATAGACTTGATGTGCCCCCAAACGCCCTGGTATGGCCGAGAGCGGGGTGGGTTCGCCCTTCCTCTCGAAATACTCTCACACGGCCGCGCGTATACAACCTCTGCCAGGGAAGTCCTACTCACTGGCTTCTCGTGGCGGGGGTGTTGTTTACGAAAATGAGAGGACGAAAAGCGAATGTCCGGCGCTTTAACCGGATTCCAAACCAATGGTGCACATGGGCACCAGTATCCTGCGGGAACAAATGGCGTATGAACCAATCGTTGGTCACCGGCTACCATGGGACTGCATCTCCTTACGATGTTCCACTGCCTTGTGGGTTAGACCTTTAGGTCAAAGGCTCGGGGTGTGGCCCCCTAAGATAACCACCTGCTTCGGTCTGGGCACCCGGGCAGTAACGCAGCCCACACGCAATTAATGAACTGAAATTGTGTGGCGCATATATGTTTGGCGCACTCCTGTACCAATATATATGTGTTCAAATAAATAAATAAATAAATAAATAGACTTGATGTATAAGATGAATAATATAATTGAATCAGTGTATTTACCAATTAGTAGATTATTATACATAAATGATTTGACTTAGAAAATCACAAACCGATAGTAACTCTTTCTTGTTTCATAATACAGCACCTATGCAATTGACACAGAAACAGCTAAGAAAAAATTTCAGAATGTAAAATCTAGTTGTAACAAGCGTAAACGAATTCAAAATATTCCCGTTACTATTAAAGTAAATATGAGGGTAAATTAAATTCATTGTTTTAATTATTAGATCAATTAAAGTAAGATAATTAAAAATGTTTATTATGATCTAAGCGAGATCACCAACAAGCACTAGATAGCTGTTTCACCCTTGTATGCACATTAATGATCGCACCAAAGGAGGCCAAGTACAAGACTTTAAATGTCGCACGTCAACGCTAACTCTTTAAAACTTTGAGTTGGTACCTAATGGTGCACAAGTCTAGCTTTAACCCATTCAAGATATTACGTAGTCACCTACGGTGGATAACTGTACCACTTTTAACATGATTGAACACCACTAGATGCTAACTGTGATCTAGAGGAGAAGCAATCACAATCGAGACGGGAGGTCCTGGGTCAAATCCCCGACAACTGCCACTGTAAAATCTCACACTAGGACGAAACGGTCTCCCACTGCTTACACGTTGTCAATCGTGGTCCTGTTAAGATGGGTTTGTGACTTAAACTATGAAATCTTAGATAGTCTAACAGAACAAGGTAATCACCAGAGAATGAAACGTGTGTCAAAGTGAGGACAAAATTTCAAGAAAACTGGTTAGTACAGTATATATTTCATTGGTGACGAAACCTTAATATGCGATTACTGGGGAAGAATATCTAAACTTTCATCTAAATTGATTGCCAATTAAAATATAAAACAGATTATATGCAAAGATTTTTCGTGATGAACAGAGATAAAATCGAAATTCAGTGAGGAGTGGATAACTTTTTTGTCTTACACTGAGAATGTTTAGAAGCATGACGTCACTTAGTCAAACGCAGCATTCTTAGGTCTTACAACGAGTACGATACTGTCGGGCGGTTCAGTTCAAAACTCTACGTCTATGAAATTCCGAAAATTTGCGATAGCCTAGCAATCACCTCATGAATCCTATCTTTAGTTAATTGCTATATTTCTATTCCTGACTTGATTATTTACACCGTTTCTTACCGCAAACTCTACTAATTTAGTTAAAGTTGAAAATAGCTGTCACTACAGATAAGCATTATCTGAATGAACGTTGAAAAATAGGCTACCATTTTGTTTTAATTTGTAATTCACAACCCGACAACAAATAGGGACGCCTAGTCTCATGCTGAGTGTTATACTATTAAATCCCTCAGACAGGATGAGATCCATTACTTATATAATAATTAAATTGACCATGACAATTGCTTGTCTGAACAGCGTTAACTAAGGTGAATCCGATAGGTTATTTGATCAAGGTCTAAACATTTAAATCGCGGATCTTTTCAAATTGCCTTAACACAACAATCGAAGATTTAAACCGATGTAACTCATAAGTGGAAAATTTTTCTTCACGCAACTTAATTAAAATCCTATGTTCTCCTAAACATTCAACGATACTGTATTGTTTTGAGGAGACAGTTGTGAAAAGATACTACTACATTAAGTTATAATAGTACTATATTTTTAATATCCCACAAGAAGTAGAAAACCGAATTCCCAACATTTCACAGGTTTTAATGAGAATTGAATTTTTAGGAAATCAGTAACCATCTTTCGAAATAAAATTAGTTGAAATAGTACAAGGAACAAATCCTAGTTCCTTGCCTACATTCGGAACTGTAATAAAACCCCAAGGTTGTGAGTTAACATGATAGTTGCTTATGAATCAGCAAACAAATGATCAGTGAAGAATAATGCATAGTGAGTACGTATTTCGTAAGTATCCAAAGATAAATGAAAGGAAAATTTAAATGGACCAACCGATCGCCAATTAAGTCAACTACACAGTATAAGGATTTTGTAGAGATGGATGAATTTTGTAGATAACATCATGGACTGGTTTTAGTTAGACAACCAATGAACATTAGGAAACGCTGTAAAAACTGTTACATCCTCAGTGACAGTGCGTATCCATGAGCCCGAAACACAGGATCGAATCCACGACTTTTATGTGTTGTAGAAGAAGCTTGATCACCAGACCACTGGGCCATTATCCAATGGTTGACATGTCTAATTTCAAATAAGTTAAAAGAAATCGACAAGCATACTACCGCATGAAATCTAATGAAGATGGTGTCTTATCAGTGAACAAACTAAAAACCGAAGGTAGATATACTGAAAATTACTAGTAAAAACATTTAATATTTGGAATCAACTATCTAGTCGGTAAAGTTATTTACAGGACAAGTTAAAATAATGAACACTGACATTACTGAAAAGGGTACAGGAAATTTTCATTAGAAATATCAAATCCTTTGATGAGACTATAAATCTTTGGCGACTGAAGTAGTTATGACATATGCCACATACTCTCGGTCATCGACAAAACCAACCCACTGAAGTTGGCTAACACAGACTGCAAATTAAAAACGGAATAGGGATGGCTAGACAGAAAATAGAGATGCTATGACACAAATGTCCTAACATCACAAATATTTATCAATCCCAATAATCTACCTAAAATACATCCGGTTATATTATCTTTTCGTCGCATTCTAAACATAATTATATCATGGTACTATTCCATTGCAAAGTGGATAACTTACATGGCCAAACCAGTCTAAAGGGTGATTTGTCAGTATTCTCTGTGCAACACTTCTGAACTTGTTAGTGTTGTGTCATGAGCGTTTCATATAAGATGACAGTTTTATTAAAATACTTAGTGTACAAACGTAATTTGTTTTATGGTTTAGGTTGAAAACGCGTTTTTAGCGTATTAACTAACTGAACGAATGAACTATATTTATATTGGTGTACGGTTAGCCTAGATGTGAATACCGAGAATACATTTTGTTCGACAATTTGTTCATTGCATAATCATCAAGTTTTATCACAATAACAAAATAAAAAGCTGTGGCCAGTGGAGTTCAACAGTATCAGATTAGAAAGATACCTAGTGAAGACAATAGAAGATGGTTTCGCAAAATCGTGAATGGATTTAAGTTAGATAAAAATACTGTTGGATATCGATCGACTCAATGGTTTAGAAGTTAAGCGTTTGCACGCGAGACCGAAAGTCTTGGGTTCGATTCCCATTGGTAGGGTCATGGATATATACTACCACGAATGAGTCCTAGATATGGACAGAACGGCTGTCTAGCATTTCCTGGTTTCTAATGATTGTGTCTAACTTATGTAAGTTCGTGATCTCCACGACATTCAATGTTTTCCACAACCTCCAATATTGAAAAAACAAACAAACACTGAGAATAAACAGTGATAAAGATTCAATTTTTATATTCAACTATCCTTGTAAACATACTCAAAAAATAGCTGATATGAAGAGTCATGAGGTCAACTCCAACAATACAAACTATTAACATGAGTGATTTGTATCTACTTATGTATAGATTATGTGTAAATAAACAATCTCATATTTATAATGCTTAATTAAATATGAAATTGAGTATAAACACATGCTAGTAGGATGACTGAAAATTGAATTCAATTATGAGATAATGGAAATACAATTCATATATTGAAAAAAAAGCGACGTTTCATCATCAACAACAAAAAACGATATCGAGAGTACTCTGAGAGCGAGTAAACATATATACCGGATATCAAGTGTTGAAATGAGGAGTAAACATTTTGACACAACTGTGTTTACTACAGAGAAGATAATCAATCAAACAGGTGATAATTTCTATATATATTCAGGGGTTAAAAACTGAAATGCTTTTAGTGAACAAGTCAAGTTTATTATAAGTCAATTTCATACAATATCAATATATTGCCTACTTAGAGTATGATTTTTCAAAAAAAAAGGAATGTAACTAACCATTTATGCATAGAAACCTAGAAAAGAACTATCTATAATAAATAGAAGAGATTCATATTACACATAAAGCGATAAGATAACTATTTACTGGATATATTCCATTACCACTTGTGAATAGTGGTAAGCATTAATCATTGATTAATTAATTTTAACATTTACATTGTAATTTTAAAGTGTTATCCACTTAGTTACTAGATTAGTGTAGTTACCACCTTTAAGTCACCTTCTAAATGTAACGGGGCTAATAATACTACATAACCAAATTCCTGAAATTAAAGTTGATGAAATGAGGTTGAAATCTTAACATTAGTGAGTTACAGTTACAGTACATAGTTCACTAAACCAATTATTATTAACCAAAAAGCTAGATGTTTGTTAATGATCATAATAATAAAAACAACACTGAATATACAAAATCACTCGACTATAATAATTTCCCTTTCTCTAATAATCCTTATTTCGATGTTAATCATTGAACACACAAAAATATACTTTAGTAAAAAATATGTTGGGATTAAAACAGATACATTAGTTGTACTGACTCTTTTCTTAACTAGAAATAGACGTTAATGTATATATATATATATATTCAAGTATAGATTCTTTGTTTAATTGAATGTATAGTGTTAACTAGTAGATTTTACCTGATATTGAGGAAATGTGTTTTTTTTTGTTTTTAAATGTGGAATTTGGTTGAAATGAAATATGTTGCCATGTGTAGAGATGAACATGTAAACCTGTAATAAAGAAAGGGTATACCACCCATTCACATGTATACACACACACACACTACAGAATAGATTTATATACCATAGTGTGCTTGTATTCCAAGTAGAAACTATGTAATTAATTGCTGTAAGAATAAAAAAGAATATGCTCCAATATATAATACGCCATTGTACGTTTCAGTTGTACATACAACTCATTAGATACCATGATGAAACTTTCCATTTATTTTGTTCAGTTTTCTTTTTATTATGATTTCTGATTATAATGAAATAAAGCCAAGTTAATTAGTTAGTTAAGTACCACGAAGACAATGAATTATAAATGGTAGTTAGAAACAAGGAATTATTAAAATTATACACATAAAAATAAGAAAACACTTTTGTAATTTATGAGAATGGATATTGAATATCCGTACGTATGATAGAAATGTATATGCAGATTTATGTGTGTGTGTGTGACAGGGAGAGAAAGAGAACAAAATAGAGCAAGAATACACAGAACACAAGATCCAAAGAGAAGAACAGTACAAAAGACAACAACAAAAAACCATCACTAAGAGAGAGGAAGAAGAGAGTGTGCTAACAGAAAGAGAGGCTTCATTTCCCCAAAACAGATACGATACATTGGTGAATATATATATAGGCTTATGGGGCTACGGAGATTAAAGAAAACAGTAGTAATAATAATTGTGTTGATAGATAATAACGACAATGGACAATACCACGTAATGGTAAACACGCACGTACGCGATCACATACACACACACACACACGAAGGATCCTAAAACTGTAAATTACAAATTAGTCAATAAGAAGTATACTAAGTGAATACAAACACTTGAGTAAAATTTAGATACAGAGTTTAGTTGTTTATTTTCAAAGTGAACAATTATGTTCATCTCCGACAGTTTGTATTTATACACTGGTGATGATATACAAACTTTATTTATATATCATTATTAAATACACTGTTTTATACACAGAAATAATTTAGATAAGAGGCTAATTAATAAGTCAATATTGTTTATGAACACAATCTTCATAGGATAGATAATATAAATACATATCTATGTGTGTATAGACACAGAGAGAGAGAGGGACAGAGAGAGTAAACCTTTAGAATATTATAAATATCATTATATTGTTAACTGTGCATGAAAAATAGTAGTAATAATAATAATAATAACAATAATGAAAGGAGACCAGTTAAAAATTTACACACCTAATAAATCATACAATTCTTCATCTTTCGAAGGCATTTTTGCAGTATTCGACATTTTGGTCAATAATGGAGGTGTATGAATAGTAGTAGCAGTAGTAGTAGTACTAGCGGGTGTAGTAATAACTGAAGAGGATACTTTTTCTACAATATTGAATTCATTATTAATGGATGTTGGTGATGGTAATGGTGAAGTGACTGGATGACATGATTTGATCGGAGAACCAGATGCTTTAACTGCAGCTAACTTATCCGCTATTACTTTACGCTTAGCTAAAAGAACTGGTAATAGACTGGATGACGATGATAATGCAACTGTAGAAGATAAAGTGGAGGCCGACGATGTCGATGAGGTTATACTCGTTAAATTCGGCTGAATGTGATGAGATCGTGTTGTAGGTGTCATTTCTGATTTACCTACAGTGACTACAGGTTTTGAGTTAGATGACTTAGCAGATTTTTGTGAACTAGCTGCCGACATAAACAATTGTATACGTGAATCAAGATCTAGATGGTCAACACTAGGGGATGCCTTTGCTTCAAGTTGGTCAGACGGACCAACAGAGCCAAAAGATAATGATGGCGGGGGCGGCGGAGGCGGGGGTGGAGATCCTAAACTGGCTGGATTTGGATAATTTATTGCGCCTGCCTCGTAAGCGGCTACTTGTTCGACACGTGACATGACCGATTCTTCATCTTCTTCATCATGCATATGAGCAGTGGCGGCAGCGACGGCCGATGCCCTAATTATTCGACCTCCTGTAGATCTTATAGAGGAATTGGTTACATGATTAGATATAGATTTATATGGTGCATCAGACCGTGTAGATGAAATGGCGGCAGCAGCCATTCGTTCTTCTGTTGCACGTATTCGTGATAGGACATCATCGACTTTTGCTTCTAAATCAGCTGTTAAATTTTCAGGTTCAATTGTAATAGTAGTAGTAGTATTGGTAGTAGTGGTGGTGGTATTATCCGATATTGATTCGGAACTGTTATTTGAATTTGTATTATTTTGTAGTGTTTGTTTATTATCAACATCAGCGGAAATGGACAGTGAATCAGTTTTTGAAGTATTTTCCATTACAGAATCTTGAACTGAATGAATACGATTTTGATGAGATGCAATAAGTGCCTGTGCTTGAGAGAGCTATAAAAAGAATAAACAAATTATGTTTCAATTCTGTTAAGTGAACATTAGAATAATGAATAAAACTTTCATATAACAGTAGTTATTTAACAGTTTGGGGTTAATAATCTCCATGAGATTAGAATCTGAGTCATTGAGCATCAGAATCTAAGACGCTATGAATAACTTATTTTCGAAATCTTGAAAAAAAAGACTTACTATAAAACCGAATTAAGGAGTAATAGGGAATTAAGATGACAATGGTTGAGATGAGTTAACTGATAACAAATAATTAACGCTAACAGAAAATTAAACCGATCAACGGATAATAAAAATGATAATACCGTAACAAGACTTGAAAATAAATGCACATTTAACTTTCATTTAAATCACCGAATGCAGAATATTTGTTATCCTTTTTTAAAAAAAGAATCAATGGAACATTCCTTGGATTAATTGCTGATAAGCACAATTAGGTAACTGGTTTGTTACAGGATGATAATAATAGTGGATAATACGTTCCTTGCGAAAACCATAGGAGGAAGTGGTCAGTAATCTATAGTTTACCATATTTTAGTAATAAAAGAATAAACGCTTGTGGAGTTAGGTATATATAGGTAATTCGATGAGCGCTCTTTTTGTAGGGAGTTGAGAACACTATTCAACTTGGTTGAAAAGAGGAAACCATGGATCCATAGGAAACTTTGTAATCGAACATCATGCGAGAACACAAGTCAGTCAATTAAAAACAGGCTAAGCATTCAAAGTCATCTTACAAGGTGAATAGAAAACTTGACCAAAAATAGATATAGCTCCCATCACCTTACCGCTGCCAAGACCTTTTGCTATACATCATCTAGAAAAGCCAGGATTGGGTATGCGAAAAAACCAATCCATTTTTCTACTATAATCTGAACATTTTGTTCCTCAATGTCATTACTTTCTTCATTTACATTTTACCTCTATTGTATTTTTGTTTCCATGCCCCCAACCACTCTAACTCTGATTATACCTTATCTGATCATGTTACGTAATTACTTCTCCAAATGTTTATAACATACCTGAAATGATAATTTAAACATTTATAATCCGCATTTTTAGTTTCTTATTACTTTTCTTATTATCCTCAGTAAATTAATTTAATTAGAAGCTAAACGAATTATTGATTTAAAACAACATAGATATAAGCGAACAATATTGTTTTCGATTAGATCCTCATCAGGCTTTACTCTAATATACAGTAATATTTATATGCATATACGGTTCAATTATCTGAACACTTCTTATTACGTAATCCTATAATTTTTATCAATGTTATTTCAGTGTCTATATTTTTCTAATCATTGACCTATCTTCCAAGCCTTTATTATTATTATCACAACTAGTTCTTCTAAATGAAGATGAGGTTCAGATGCAGACGCAAAGGCGAGGATTGGCAAAGCAAGGGCCGCATTTCTACAATTGAAGAACATATGGAACTTAAAACAACTTTCAACCAATATCAAAGTCACAATCTTCAATACGAACGTCAACACAGTTCTACTGTACGCAGCTGAAACTTGGAGAAGTACTACAACCATCATCAAGAACGTACAAGTATTTATAAATAGTTGTCTACGCAAGATACTCAACATCCATTGGCCGGATACCATCAACATCAGCCTTCTCTGGGAGAGAACAAACCAGCTTCCAGATGAAAAAGAAATTAGGAAAAGACGATGGAAATGGATAGGACATACATTACGCAAATCGTCAAACTGCATCACGAGGCAAGCCCTAACTTGGAATCCTGAAGGGAAGCGAAAAAGAGGAAGGCCAAAGAACACATTGCGTCGGATAATAGAATCAGATATGAAAACGATGAATTACAACTGGACGGAGCTAGAAAGGATTGCCCAGGACAGGGTTGGATGGAGAATGCTGAAGAGCGGCCTATGCTCCTTCACGAGGAGTAACAGGCGTAAGTAAGTAATCACAACTAGTAAACTTGTCATCATACTACAAATGCGTACTTTTCACTTATTTATGTAATCTATTCCATTGTTATCATTGACTCATAAACTGTCTTGATTGGTTTAATAATTTCGTATAGGCATATATAAATTTTACTGTATATTAGAGTAAAGCATTATATATGTTGTTCTAAATCACAATATGGATAGTCTTCCGATTTATTTGATAAAAGTATTGTACAGTGTTCGAGCCAGTAGTAATCATGAACTTACTTATAGTGTCTCGCCCGAATTTCAAATAACAAGTATAGGAAATAGTTAAAGTAACTTGGTGCATCACTTAAACTGCTTCAAATGATTGTTCAAAATTATTTTCCATGTTAAATGTAACAAATGTTCAATCCTAGTTGTTTAAATTAACACTACCACTAAAACTTGACCATAGACTCTGAATCTTGAGATAAATCTCTCCTGACTTTTTTTTCACCGCTAAATTTGTTTATCTATATAGCTACAAAGAAAGCATTTATATGTTAGAGATAATGTCAGTTCATGGAGAAAAACCGTCAACCCTTATAGCAGGAACAATGTGGATGACTATGAAAAATCTATATACATCCTTTTAATGATCCGATAAGATAGACAGACTAAATCCACAATAAGTTTATATATCGTTATCTTGTTTCCATTTACAGAAAGATTACCCTGTAGATTTTAATAGATTCATTAAAATCAGTCTACAACTTGCAATTTTTTTATTCTCTTTTCATTAACTATCCATTAACAATGGCTATTACTGAATTGACTGTGTAAAAAGTAGTCACAGATGTTCTAAGTCCATCACTATACTACACTCTTGAAGATAGTTCCTGTGAAAATATGAATAGTTTTAAGACTGCATAACAACTTATAAGATGAAATTGCGTAAGAATCTTTCTTGTATTTCATTAAATATGTGCGTATATATAATAAACTGATTATAGAAAAGGCTTAAATTCTTATTAGATTCAAATTACTGTTCTAAGAAACTAGAGCAAACGTCAAATAGTCACGCCTTATTATTATCATATCAAGAGATCGATTGGAAAATACTGTTTAAATTATCAAAATAAATTGTTGTGCCAATATGAGAGCCCAGATAATCTAGTTTGTTTGGTTAGTTCCATAATATCATATTATTATTATTATTTTCAGACTGCTTTGCCATAAGGTCATTTTATGTTACTATGTAAACAGAGTTGTACCTTTACAACTTTCCACTTTTTGTTTGGAATATAAATTCTATACTAAAAGTGCTAGCTCCTCTGCTTTATATTATTAGTATCTATTATTACCCGCAGTGTTATGTCAGTAGTCAGTAACAACGTAGAACTTCGTACATGCGTAGGTATGTACGTACGTATATCAGTTCGAGTTACCATACCACATTAGCACAGAGATGCAGTTGTCGATTTAAATTCCGTAGTGGTAGAGCTAGTAAAAGTATAAGCAGTAATCGGAATGATTAGGGTTTAAAGATGTTATTCAAGGAATATTATCCAGTGAAATAAATTTGGGAAGAGAAAAAAGTGATTTCTAGAATTCAGAAGATTATAATTTGGGAGAACACAGAGAGTGGATGCACCTGAGCCATTGCAAACGATTTTGAACCATGTCAATCAAAGTCTCTAACCATCGGTAGTGTTGTTATGTGCTAGATGTCCAGTTTATTTGAATTCCTAATCAATGGATTGCATTAGGGAAAATCTTCAGTTGTTCTCAAATGGGACTGATCAGTCAATGCGAACCTTTTAATATATAAAGTCATTTTTTTAACAAGAATTATTATAGTGATATTTTTGGAAGAAAAAGAATATACTACATTTATATACCTCTTCTTTGGTAGTATTCGCCTGTAAAGATTGAAAAAATTGAAATGTTGTTTGAGCAGCTTCACGAACTTCATTTGACAGTTTATACCGTCGACACTAAAAGAAATATTAATAATAAATATTGAGAATAGAAGAAATTTGATGAATGATTGATTATAGAATATCACTGAATCAAATATGTTTATTAAGAGGAGTAGAACAAAAATAGTTTGCAGCAATGATGTGAGTTGAAACTTACAGAATTGTAATTAGCTCTAATGAACTCTAGCATTAACATATTCTAATTCAGTTTATTTATACGACTATGAAGGGAGATTTGGCTATAAACACTTAACAATAATAAGTAAGGGTAAAGAATTTGAGAAATAATAATAATGGGAAGTTATTTAATCTTCCAAGGGCAATAATAATTGATTGAAGAAAGCTTCGTTTATAGATATTCACAATGAACACTTGCATCGATCGACATTTTGGTCCGTTGAGGTGGTTGGAACATTTGTTTCATATGCCCAGCTACCACCTAACTCGGCGGGTGATGTTGTTTGGAGTAGGAATATATTGGAAGTTAAGGGGCAGTTAAATTAAAACATGGAACCAACCCATGAAGTTACTAACTGCTGGACTAAATCATGTAAACAGATGCATACGACCTGGTTGGGGTTTGTGTGATGACGGTGACCAGCGATGGGAGATTTTAGGTGACATATTTCTGTTATATCCTAGTGAAGATTAAATCACGAGTAACTTCTGAGACATATTAATGGACTATTATTATTTATATATTCTTATGGTATAACTATTTAATAATCATATTGTATATATTTATATTCCCCTTATTATAAGCTTCATTTTGACCTATAGATTATTACTGTACGATCTACTGTTCCTAAGTTATACTCAGTTTATTAATTACTGTCTCCCACGTTCACAGCTTTATTGTGTACGAATGTTATTTTCTATTTTATGGTGCGTTGCGGTCTGTTAGTGGGATTCTGGACTCAGCTTGACAGGCTATGCGAGCAAACGACCAATAGGACGCTAGGCTGGTCAGACCAGTCGAACTTCATTCGTTTAGTACAGTACGAATGTGAATAAATCGTATTTTGATTGGCGAATAAATTGCGTAATAACTAGCGGGCCATAAAGACACAACAAGTTCAGAATCGTCTGCAATTACTATTAACGGTTTTATCCTCTTAGATTTCAGATCACGAAATATCCTTATAATATTTTATTTTCTACTACTACTAATGACACTGTGTTAATACTTCTAGTCATGAATCTGCCTTGACCGTTTTATCTCACTGTGATAACGTAGTAAGACACATTGGACTGATGTATATATGTTCTAGATTCTACGTTGCACATGACTGAGAGATTAAAATCAAACTAAATTATACTTCAAAAAACAAACTAAAAGTGAGATTATCTGGCATTTCTTAAAAATGGAATATTGATGTAGCGTTTAGTACGTACTTCATTAGAGATTTAATCTTGACAGAATTTTTATCGTTAATTAACAATACTCAACTGAGGAAAAACTATTGGTGAATACACTAATACCTATAAAAAGTGCGAGAATCCTTGATCCTTACTCCATAATGATGTGGTCGCGTAATTCGAAGATGAAACCAGGAAGGCAACCATCTGTAGTTTCAAAGTTACGTTTCTTATTATTTGATAGTAATTAGACTGATTATTTCTGGTCAGTGCTTTTTAACAAAACTCTCTCTATTGTGAGAGATGGGGGTTGCTAATGCCCATGCCTAATCTTCTCCCTTTATCCGGGCTTAGGAACGGCAGAAACTCTAGAAGAGCTTCAGGCTATGATGCCACAAGGAAATCAAACTCCATCACAAGACAACCTCTGACCACGAATCTTTAAGGCGGAAAAGAGGCAGATCAAAGAACATATAGCGTTGGAAACGGGAAACAGACATTAAAAGTATGAATAGCACTAAATAACTACAAAGGAGGGGCCAGGATAGAGTTGATTGGATATCTCTAGTCGGTGCCTATCATCAACGAGCGGCAACACACGTAAGTAAGAAAACTTGAATCAGCGGCAATGAGGTTGAAATCTAACGAGAAATAATGATATGTATTCAGGTACATCCTACGAAGAGATTTTGAACAGATGGAAGTGAACGACTGTGAACATCACTATGGGATACCATTAGATGTTATTAAAAAATAATCAACCATTTTATTCTACAGATATATGATGAAAATATTACAAAATAAAAATAAGCATTGATAGTAACATTTTACAATAATCACATTATATACAAAGAAAGTCAAAATACTAACTTCACTCACCTTTTTAATACAATCCATAAGATCCCAAGCTTCAGCTAACTGAGGAAGTCGAACAGGGATAGAACGAACTTTATTCAATAGTTGTACCGCTTCAGCAAAATTCTCGTGGCCTTTGATTAGACTGGTTTTCAGGTCACGACAGCATTGATTCAACTGAGTGACAGGATCATTTGATGCTGCAGCCTGACGAATACCTGTATTTTTATTAGCAGTTATAAGTTAAATAACTAACTGATATCAGTATGAAGGGTTTGTGGAGATTACTGAAATAACAACCCAATGACTACTTTTGATAATGTTGCTATATTTTCCGTTACTCTGGGATTTGTCTTGATAATTTTAGACATCTATTAAAAACGACGAAGCAGTAAACGGCTATTTTGCCTTAGTATCGGTCTATTCCGTAGTGCGTACACACGATCCAATCACAAGGAGTCGAACCCAAAACTCTCAATCTTGTACACAAATGCTTAACCTCTAGGTCGTTAACCTGGCATCCAATGGTTTACAAGCCTAACTTCGACCAATAATTAATAACATATCTCAAAGAACACCGTAACAATTAAAAGATAACAGAAATCAACGGAAGACCCGAGACCAGTACGTTAAGAAAGAACTAAAGAAGCAGTAGCTAGTCACAAACAATCTCGTGTAAATCGGCTCCGAGTGTCATAGTGAAGAGGGAAATAACAAGGTGAAAAGCGTAAAGAGATTGAAATTGCAACATTGATGATTGTGAAAATTATATCCAGTGAATCCGAAAACGAACTAAATTGGTAGATGAAAAAATTATGAACATTGCAACATAGAAATCTGAAGACGAATAAATGTAACTGTAGGTTATAGGGGCTTTGAGGTTGTTGTCAGCAGAGAAGCCAGAATAGCTCAATAGTGACATCTCAAACTGTGAAGCTGAGTGAAGAGGGTTGAGTCAGTCCCTTGATGATTAGAGGCAGACTTTACTGATCAGTTCCCATTAACACGAAACCTATGTCAAGTACTGTCCCCTGTTGACTAGGTCCAACTAACCATAGGTCGAATCACTTAAACTAGTGACCACATTGCTCCCAAATGCTCTGGTACGGCCTCTTGAAATGCTCTCACATGGTCACGCGTATATAACCGGGGTGTGGCCTCCTAAGGAAACCACCTGCTTCGGTTTGGGCACTCGCGTAGTATCACAGCATTCACATTTGTGTGGCGCATATGTATTTGGTGCCCTCTTGTACCGATATTTATGTGTTCAAATAAATAAAGAAAGAAAGAATGACCACATTGCAACTTTATCAACAGAGTTCCATCCACACAAAGGGATTAGACAAACATCACATTGGTCACTACTCAGTTATCAATTAATCGTAAATGCAAACTGCATCAGTTATCGAGTTTCCAAACAATTTGTTCTTCCTTTATTTCATATCAAGCCTGACATTCAAGCAACATAAATATCATCACGATCTAGCACTCTAATATATTGTGTGTGTAAATAACTCGAGATAGGTCTTGAATTAACTAGGTTATTCCTAATTTCTCATTCACTGATGTCATCTTTAGACTTCTATCATTTTAGATATTATTTTCTATAATCTGCTATGTATCTAGTTTATTTTCTCTTATTATGGTAACATGAAGTATGGCAACATCATCCACTGATTCAATGTTATGTCAGGTCTTACATGAGATGATTACTGACTGATAAATAATTTAGCAGGATATTAACATGTAGATAAACTGTTACAGACGTGATTCTTAGGTAAAAACAATATCTTGTAACTGATAAATCATCACGTTCGGTAGCAGACCTGATGATGAATAAATCCACGGAATTAGTTAAGTAAATCCCAGGTAATAAATTTGTTAGCGATCTAAATATTCATGTGATATTATTACGTATAAAAAAAGAACAATTTGATCGACATCGCTTGAGTTCTAATAACATCACAACTAGATCTCATATACAAAATAGATATGATTCGCAAAATAGTAAATAGAATCACGTAGCTGTTTGTAATTATAGACCTTCAAAGTTTAACTTTGAAGGTAAACCAAGAAATTCGATCGGCTAACTTATAATTTTCATAGTTCAAATTATGAACTGATTTTAGCTAGAACACTATTGATAAATTGGGAGCACTGGATGGTTATTTGGTCCTAGTATCCGACACCTAAGCAACGGGCATCCAAGGCCCTGAAACCGACAAATGAACCCAGAGCCTTCAGTCTCACGCCCAAACGTTTAACGCCTAAACCACTGATCCGATATCCAACAATGTAAAATGTCTCACTTTAAATAATTCACAATATTGTCTAACCCTTATCGATCGCTTGCGGTGGATAACTGTTTTACACTCGAAACAGTTGAACTCCACTGGTCAAGGCTTTTGATTGAAACTCTAGGAGTTGCATTCTTAAGCTAGTCACTATTAGTTAGGGAATAATTATTATCAGTAATGATAGATTTATAGAGATTGTAGGATTTTCATAGTTTAAATCATGAACTGGTCTTAGCTAGAATTATCAGTAATCTAAAACAGATCCAGTTGTCAAGAAAAGTAAAATAAGAACTTCCAAAAACGCGCAAAAAATAGAGAGATGTATATAGATACACAAACAACTGAATGATAACTGAATAATGACGAGCGTCAGATTTATCGAGTACGTCAGTGTTGTTAATCTCATTCTATCGATCAATTTACAAGGTGACCACAAGTCTAATGGACTCGAAATCACATGCACTATGTTCAGATGTAATTTATTTATTTATTATTTATTTGAACACATAGATATTGGTACAAGGGGGCACCAAATACATATGTGCCACACAAATCTCATTTGATATGTGTAGGGTCTGTGATACTGCCCGGGTGCCCAAACCGAAGCAGGTGGTTTTATTAGAGAGGCCACTCCCCGACCCTTCGACATGAAGGTCTGATCCACAAGTCAGTGGGGAAACGTAAGAAGAAGCAGTCCTATGGAAGCCGGTGACCAACAATTGGTTCATACGCCATTTGTTCATTCAGGATACTGGGGCCCATGTGCACCATTGGTTTGGAATCAGGGTTTTCCAACTCCCTTAGGTGGATCATCCATATCCAGCAACTTAGTTAAAGCGCCGGACATTCTCTTTTCGTCCTCTCAATTTCGTAAACAACACCCCCGCCACGAGAAGGCAGTGGGTAGGACTTCCCTGGCAGAGGCTATATACGCGTGGCCATGTGGGAGCATTTCGAGAGGTAGAGCAAACTCTCCTCACTCTCGGCCGTACTATGGCATTTGGGGGCAGTTGAAAGTAGTCGACAGGAAACCCTGGACCTAGAATTCGTTTTATTTGGCACTCGTCAGCAAGGTGTACCTGTAATCTTGAAGATGGTACTTCCCGGAGGTTTTAAACCTATATCACTCAGCTACACAGACAGAGACGTTACCACTGAGCGATTTGGGCCGTTAATGGTAACCTGTAGAATTGAGATTTATTAACAGTTAACTGACCATTGTCATGCTGATCTAGTCGTATATACCGTGATATCTTTGGTCACGTTTTTCATATTAACCAAGGGAAATATAACATATATATGATAAAAACTTACCACTTGAATCGTTAGAGATTCTAAAAATTATAAAAAAGAATTTTTAAGATGACGGATCACGGACAAAATAAAATATAAAATTTTGAAAAAATACAAATGACCTAGTTAGTTTATAACTGGATCCAATTTTGAGCCCTTTTTTCGTATCAATAATAATATTATGTAATGTAATAGTATTACGTAACAATAATAATTCAATAATGACTAAGTAGTTAATACGCTTGATATTCAGCTAGTAAGTTATAAGTTCAAAGCTCACTTCAACCATTATAATTGGAGTAAAAAGAAGGGCCGCATTATTAGGGATGAATATACTGCGCGGCAGTTCGTTCTGTTCTACTTTACGGCTACGAAACGTGGCGATTAAGAGAAGAAGATACTCTACTATCGAATTAACTACTTCTATGAATCCGGTGTTCATCTTGTTGTGCTAATGAGTGAAGTATGGCAACTTGAACCGATGCATGCATGTGCCTGATCTTACGTTGCAGCTGACTGATCGACTAGCGGTTTCACTACACTTAAAGTACGACTATCGAAACCAAGTACATACATCTGTATTTGATGAATTGTGAACAGCATCTATATTCTATATTATGTGAACAAACCAATGATTTTGAAAACTGAACAACATTTGTGTGAATATACTTTATTTCCTAATTATCACTTATTTATGAAAACTTAAAATGGGCAATCGAATCGATTATTAATTGGAAGTATCTTCTTGAACAAACAGTTGAAAAAGAATAGAAAAGTGAGACTATAATTTATGAACGACCTTTCAGTGACGCTGATGTGACCTTGCGAATGTCCACCTAAAAACCAGGACCAAATAAAGGTCTTAAAGCTGTGTGAGCAACTACAATTATGATTTACAGTTGAGGATTAAGAACGAGATTTAGGGTTTTCATTACGAACTGACATCAGCTATTATGGGGAGACTCTTTTTATTCAAATGGATGAATGAATTTCGAACCAATAATAATAAAATACTCGTATTGAACAATTCACCTCAATGATCTCAACAATAAGTCTGAGTATCAAACGGAATTACACTATTTACTCATCAGCCTGAAGTGTCTGAACGTAGCATAGATTGTAAATTATTCAATGAAATACCTACTAATTCTGCTTATTTTATAAATCTTAGTCTAATGAGGTGTTTGTAACAACAACAAATATGAATATATCACTTAGTCTTACATCATATACATATACAAGTTGATTTCTTCTTTTAAAGTTGTCTACTTAATTTCCATCACTGTTTCAAAGTCAGTAGATCTTTACGAACTGATAACATGTTCTATAAATTCATCTTAACATTGAATATTGAAATGGTTAATCTGCTTTTAAAATTCAACAGCTCTTAATAACTAGTAAGCTAAGAAAGCATATGACTTGTGCTAAGAAAACAACAACCATTTAATGAATATAAGCAAGTAAGATACACATATGATAGACTGACTGGATTTATTCTCTCTCGCTGTAAATATTTACAAATCATCATTCATTTAGATTATCTAAAATAAGAACCAATAAGTATTTCAGAAAGGGATCTACGTTTAATGAATCTAACTGATTACACAATAATGGTTCACATGTATGGTTAAGACTTTTTATAAGTGGATATATGATTTAGAGAAGTTTTATGGAACTAAATAAACAAATAGACAAATAAAAAGTTAGTTGACAATTAAATGTGTTAGTTCTATCATCAAAAAAGCTACAACTAACTGTGATAATCCATCATAGTGAAATTAAATGTCACTATACCGTTGATAACCATAGAGTGTGGGGAATAAATATAAAGTAGATCAGGAGTCGAACAATTACTCTGATATCATACAGAACGACTAAGTTGAATCTAAAATGGTCGCTTGGAAGAATATCAAGATAATCAGCGGTGTCTTGTGGAGCAAAGTTGCTTAGTGTTTAAGACATTCGGATTTCAGCCTCCCAGGGTCGCAGCCCATTCTATCAACTTTAGTTTTGGAATCTGAGTAGTATCACTGATTTATTCTAAAATGCCTGGCGAGTGATTTAATTATATTCTTAGTCAATCTTGACAATTTCGTACTCTGGTCACATGTTTAAACTGGAATACTCTGATTAACTCATTTCCGATCAACGCTAACGGAGGAATCAAGATGCTAGAAGATTCTTATGTGAATCCAAGTCACTGAAGTATTTATTATTTGCTATTGATTCTTGATCTGATATCAAAAGAATCAAATTGAATACAATATGTCCAAGTGGTGTATACTTGACAGTAAAGTAGTATATCAAGGTTATGAATAGTGAGAAGAAAATCAGCCACATTTAAAAGGAATCAAGTATCATTACATGAAAGAAAATACCATCAAAACCTTTATTTCTCTTACCTTTTTTCATCCTGTACACTGGTATTTGATGCTGCAGTTGGTTTGACTTCTGATTGTTTTCTTTTCACTTTCAAATTATTATTATTAGTTTTTTGATTAGATTTTTGATTTCTCGATTTTCTAGTTCGATTGGATTTGTTTATTGTTGACGGTTTTGGTGAAGAATTTCGACTTTTCTCTTTTAACTGTGAAGATAATTGATCTTTGCTCTTTGAATTCTCTATGTCAGAATCATTCGACAATGATAAAGGTGATGGAGATGATAATGATGATGGTGAGGAATCACGTAGGTTAATTACTTTCTTTTCAGAATTCATTTCATCTTCATCTGAATCAAGTAATATAGCGTTAGGTTTCTTTTTACGTAAACGAGAACGTTGTTGTACAGACTTGTTTCGTTTTTTATTATTATTACTAGTAGTAGTGACGACGCCATGTTTAGTGACAGCTTCCGAAAAAGGTTCAGGAATAGTTGGTTTTGAATTGTCAGACGCCTCAACTACTAATGAATCAGCAGCTTCGATTACTGCTGCTGATTGTTTGACATCTTTTTCATTGTTCGTTTGAGAGTGATGACTATTTGATTTTGACGATGACATAATTTTCATTTCAGGATGACACACTGTGTCTCCGTCGTCGACGTCATCATCATCATTATTCTTCATTAATACTGTTTTAGCTTTTTTCTTCGGAGGAATTTCACTATTTCCCGATTTAATTGTTCCACCATTTAATAGTTGAGAACCTTCATTATCACTTCCATTCGAATGAAATAATATTCCTGTACGTTTAATTCCGGTAGAATATTGGTGTTTATCATATTCTAATGGTGTAGTGTTTGAGAAATTTATTTCTTTAGCTAAAAGTTCTCCATTAGAAGAAGAGTAATCATTTTGATGAGTTGAAAAAATACTATCATCATCAGGTTGATGCATGAATTCTATAAATGAACAAAATTGTATAACACATTACTTAATTGTATTAAATAATACTTTGTATATAAATTTCAAAGTATCCATCATTACAATTACTAATAAAGTACATTGTAATATAATATCACAAATAGAATGAAATAATACAAATGAAACATACGATTATGGTACTAAACTCTTTGATTAGAAATAGAATAGATGATTAGGTTCTTATAAGCTGACTGTTTAGAATGGATAAGATGTTTTAAGGGTAATAATATATGTAGAAGGATTAATCGATGGAAATTAATGAATAGAAAAATGGTTTTTCACAACAATATTACAAAGTAATGAGCATAAAATGGTTAACTAGATGCTGTAGGAAAGTAATCAATATAAACCATTTCTTGATTCAGGTAATATCAGTTGAAAAACTTTTTTAAAAAATTCATTCTATACTTGGTTTATTCTAGTTTGAGGATCTATGGTTAAGGTGTACGATATTAAGTTAAAAATTCACAGGTCCGAATGCTGTCTCGCTTACTTCGGATTGGACAACCAAGTGAAATCACTAGTCATCACACGTAGACTGTGGCTCTGAACAAATTACACGCATTTCGTCTCACCTCCGATCCATCGGCCGGAGTGCCTGCCAAATCCTAGTTTTGATTTTCATTCTGAGAGTCAAAGCCATTGCTTTTCACTTCATATTCAAATGCACTATACACCCAACTAGAGTCTAGATAGGTAAGCCCTTATAACTGAATTCATCACCGTTGCTCAAGCTAGTGGCTGGGATGTGGTATATACATTCAGTTGAAGATTGCCATACAGGACGAAACGCGCGTTATAGATTCTACCACTAGCTACTAATAAGTTCTGCTTAGAAATGCTTGTGACTGATTGCAATATCGATGCAACTCGCTCAGGATATATAAATACCAAGAGACTGATCAATTTCAGTCCTCAGCACCAGGAATGGTAAAATTCAAATCCTTACAACTGAGTTATGAAATAAGTGGTTTGAGAATCCCAATCAGTGATGGGTTACGCAGTCATACTGACTAGATATATCTTAATAATTCAGACATATATATCTCGTTTATTAGCTATACTACTGATTAAAAATATCAGTAGTCTGGATACTGATCCTCAAAACCTTAAAACAAGGACCACAGGCCCATTAGGTCGAGCTAGTTTCATTTCATTTTTATTTCGTATATATATTGTCGCTGAAGTACTCACATAAACTTTTAAGAAATAGGGGGCCAAAAAGTGTGCCATATAAGCGTTAATACTGCGAAGAAATAAAGGAGAGGACAGTACAATCAATACATAAAAGAGTAGAAATGATATGCAATGAAAGGTATAATTCAGTTAAATGTACAGCCTTTAAGACCTTGTTGCGTTTAAGAAAGCCCATCTACCTTTTGTGAAGAGCGTCATAAAAAATTAGTGCACAAACACTAATGTCCTCTATTCTGATAACGGCTCAAGCAACTGAACTGAACCACTTTTGAGACAACAGGCTGGATTTATAATAGCCAGGCCTAAGCAACCACCTTTCAAATCATGAGGTCATATCCTGAATTGACCACTCTTCTACTTTTTAAACTTAGTCCGATAGTAAGCAAATGATGCATGATGTAGAATTAGCTTGGACGATACTCGTAGGATATGACAGTTACTGAGGTTGGTGTTTCGAAATCCCAACTGTAACTGGATTATCGTCCTAGTACGGAGATAAACATTGTTGGATCTTGGCATAATTAACATGGTATTGCAACCAAATGCGAGCAAACCTTCTGAAACAACGATGGTAGAACACGAAGAGTTGCTAAACCCTTGAGGCTGGAAAGTAGAGTAGAACCATTACCTTTTTACACATAATTTGCCTTAAAACCAAATACGCAAACCTATACCTGGTTAATGGGCTACATTCAGGTCTTCGAGTACTGGTCTAGTGGTTAAAGAACTTGACCATCAACCACAGAACTGTACGTAACAGGAGTAGCTAAGAGCAACAAAATGATAAACTAAGACGCCTTATGTAGAAGTGGTTAAAAACAGATACTTGATTAACGATATTGACCGAAAACACAAAGAATCGACTTGTTCGGCTTTAAGCATAATTAATTAAATAATTCATACAAACCAAGATTACAAGAAACAGAGAAAAACATAGTTTAGTCAAATTTTTTTCAAGGCTATAAAATTGATTGATGAATCAGTTTCATGTTCACCTAATTCTTTAATGCTTCTATTGGTCAGGTTGAAACGTGACCACTAGTGTCTAAGTCACTCAACATTGTGTGTACCATGCTGAACTGTTAGATCATAAAAAATGGTTGACAAAAAACCCTGATTGACACGCAGATTTCCTGTTATTTGGCACTCAACAAAAAAACCGAGTTCGCTTGTCCTTATCAGTTGTTTTAGATTACGAGTAGAACTCATAAACAAGTGTTAAATGGCACAAAACGTAGGTAGAGAGTATCCTGTCGACTACCAACTTTCAACTACATAACAAACGGTACTCTTATCATGTAAGGCTTATGCGAAACTTCATCAGTTGAGATGGCTTGAACACATGTTACATATGCCCAACCACCGACTGCCTCAACATGCGATGTTTTAATGATGTAGAAGTAGGTTGGAAGAAAGCTAGAGGCGGCCAGACAAAAACATATCACAAATCCATGAAGTCACTGACAAGTGGACTGAGTCATGTTGGTAGATGTAGACTACCTGGTTGGGATCCGCGAGATGATAGCAACCGATGATTAGAGACTTTGAATGACATGGTTCAAAATCGTTTGCAATGGCTCAGGTGTATCCACTCTTTATGTTCTTCCAAATTATAATCTTCTGAATTCTTCAAATCACTTTTTTCTCTTTCCAAATTTATTTCACTGGATTATATTCCTTGAATAACATCTTTAAACCCTAATCATTCCGATTACTGCTTATACTTTTACTAGCTCTACCACTGTGGGATTTAAATCGACAACTGCATCTCTGTGCTAATGTGGTATGGCAACTCGAACTGATATACGTACGTACGTACCTACGCATGTACGGAGTTCTACGTTGTTACTGACTGACTGAAATATATAGAATAGTAATCGCATTACAAGTAGGCATTCATTTATCATGGAGATATATACATATTGAGAAGAAAACAAATGACTTTGAAACTATGATGAATTCAAAAAAATGAAGATAATTATTTCAGCAATTAGAAAAAGTATAGAAATTGCGAGACTAGGTCAGATAAACACAATAATATGAATAGGCTCAAATTGTCATACGATAACAGCTATGCAAGATGAATAAACACAAATAATTGCAGCAATAAAATTAATGAATGATTAAATATTGAGAATATAGTGTAAATATATAAAAATGAAAAGGTATGTACACAAGAGCTCTAAATCGAAAGTAAATGAATCTGCATCGTTGTGATAGACTATGAGTTATATTTGATGTAGAGAGCAATAATTTAATTGATTAAGAGTACTAACTAGGATGTGAAATTGATCGTCGATGACATGTAGCCATATTTTAAAGAATAATTTAATTATATCCCATTTGGTTAGAGATGCTTAGTTGTATGATTTTGTCAATGTATTTAAACAATAAGTTATTGAGTAATTGATGTTAAGTAGTACTCCGTTCAATTTATTTGATTGTATGGAAACCATTCAAAAAAGTACTATACTTATATATCACTTTGATGTATTTCCATAATTAAATAAATCCAAAACTGTAATTTTTGTATTTTCTCTATGATAAAAACAAGGAAACAAGAAGCCCTGACAAACTACGAAAGCTATTTTTCGAGGCGTTATTTCATTTTATTCAAAGCTTGTAAAACACCGATATTTATTTTTGTCCCTATTTTATTCTACAGAACATGAGCTTTCGTTCGATGTATCATTCATTGTCATACCCCTTTTTGTCCCGAAGCTATTGTAACTTAAACCTAATATTTTGCACCTTATTTTCTACTCTAATTCCCAGTTTTGGACATAATTGTATTTTCCCAAATTATTGCACGTTATGGTCGGGTAAATCACTTATTTATTCATGTACCTTTTTGCACTAATCTGAATTCAGAGATTTCACAGGAAGTCAGGATATCGCAATACAGCCAATAGTGTTCCGACTGTCTTGTCTTCTCTCATTACCGTACTTGCCAGCCAATCAGGTGCTAGAATAGTTCTCTTCTCTCTACCCCAGCTCGAACTCACGCGTACTAGCCTCAAGGTTAAACCGGCCAGCCTATTACGTCAAGGTCTTAATCTGGAGTAGACAGATCAAGGTCATAACACTCTGTGCGTCGTCTGATTTGGAGTTTTTACTACCAAGTGCAAACTAGTGAGGCAGTTCCTTGGACAAAACAATCAACAGACGCAACAGTCAGCTAGTCACAATGTACAGTGTGGTACACAGATGTACATCAGTTCAATTTGTCATACACTATTAACACACAAAGATGAAATTGTCAGACCAAATCCCAGAATAGTAAAGGTAATAATAGTGAAGAAAAAATTGACCATTGAAAATACGATTTAAGAAAACAATCTAAATGATACAACAATGTCTTCAAATATCATATTAATAATTCTGTACCATCTATACAAAACGAATATTAGTGAACATGGCAGAAACTATTTTATTGACTTGATAATAATAAATAATAATGTCAGCTGAGTAAGGGGCGTGCCTCAAGTATGTTAAATGAATAGATAAGAATGCTTGGAAGAAACTGTTAAAAAAAAATAAACAATTGTCACTTGTGAACTAGGAATAAAATTGGTTACAGTGAAAGAGTGGATATATCTACATTTTTAATTATTTTCAAGATTTTAAACAGCATACTATACTTAGTATTGTTTTCCTTTTATCTTCCCATTGAGGTTTAAGACTGTAATTAACCAGTCTGTTATTGGCATATATGTATACTGTGCTTATGCCTCAATATTGTTCCAGGGTGAACATCAACCCTGAGATGCAGGTATATCCAGCTGACAAGTCCCAAATAGGACGAAACGCGCGTCCTGGATTCCATTGCTAGCCACTATCCACCTTTGCTTATATAAGCACACTATACTACTCAATATTTACTGAATCTTTCTTTTAATTGGATTTTTTGTTATATTTCGTCAACATTGCATACTTTATTACTTACGATCCTTTGATGTTATTTTTTCTCATTCTGTGAAATATGATGATTTGTACGAATGTAAAATTGCATTGTCTTGTGTTGATGTTACTTCCTTTTATCCCTTCTTATCATATATTGAGAAATAAAGAACATTTTGTGATGAATTAGTTTTCAGATGAAGAGGAAATTAGGAAAAAACTCTGGAGGTGGATGGGATACACATTACGGAAATCGTCAACTGCATCATGAGGCAAGCCGTAACTTGGGATCCTCAAGGCAAAATGGTAAATTAAAGAATATATTGTGTCGTGAACTGAAGACAGGCATCGCGAGAATAAATAGAACTTGGGAACAACTGGAAGACAGAGCCCAAAAATAGTGTTGGTTGGAAGGTTCTGGTCGGCGGTCTATACTTCACAAGGGGTAACAGGAGTAATTACTTTGAGTTGTAAACGACTTTCATAAAAAAGGACTACAATTTTGATGGATGAACTGAAAAATTCTATGAACCTACGGTTTTCCATGAATGTAATCAATAGATTGTATAAGTGATAGTCTTAACTAAGACCAAACTTTTTGTCATTAAGTATCTAACCTACGAAAAAGAGTTTACAATGTCAACGTAGATTATAATTTGGCAAACAATATCTATATACATCATCAGGCGTAGTAGTCTCAAGTTAACTATTGCAATTAGAATCCATACGGTTAATGAAAAGCTAGTATAATGTAGACGAATTTACATCTAACATCAAAAGTGTTTATCAAATAAGCCTTCAAACAAACAAACCATTAAGCTGAAAATGAATGGGGAAGTAGTTCAACTGTAAATTTGCAACCTTAAAACAAAAGGATTGAATAAAACTTACGAAGCGGACTGGCACATCTATCGTCCAAGGTAGGCAGGATGGGTCTGTTGGAACTGGAGTCAGTAGAATCTTCATTAGTTTGGACAGGCTCAGAATGAGAAGCAGGAGACCATTGATTGTCATCCCATGCATGATTACTAGAGCTCTCTTGGTTAACGTCAGGATTTCTCGTATTCGATTCTTGAACATCAAAATTTAAATTTTCTTGTTCCGTTAAACGAGATTTTTCCAGTTTATGAAGACGTTTTAATTCACGTTTAGCTTCTCGTCGAGCACGTCTTTCAGCTCGTTTCTCTTTTGCTAATCGTTTTGCCTCTCGTTTAGCAGCCTTCTTTAAAGCTTTTTTCTCAGCTTTTTTCTGCATTTTACGAGCAAGTCGACGAGCTTCTCTATTCTCTTGATAAGAATCTTTTTCATCAGATGGACGATCAATTGTTGAACTAGGGCTAAGCCTCTCCGAACAACTTATATCCATTTGTTGATAATTATTAAACTGTATATGATGATTTGTATTATCTATCAATGTCTCTTCATCATTACTATCTTCCGGAGCTGGGTCTAAGCTATTGACTCTCGATTGATCTGTGCTTATTTCACTCGATGTATCATCACTGACACGATTTATTTGATCACCACTACTACTTGTCCCTTGATTAGTAGTACTGAGTGGTTGATCATTGTCAACTTTTGACTTCCTAATCATCCAAATCAAGTAAGAATGGAATATTCAAATTATCAAATAAATACTTGATTATATAACATTACAATTTATTTAATAAAATTCATTGTTTATGAAGACTGATATTTGTACATACTTTAACTTCAGCAACATGTGCCATTAGATGCTTGATGTGTTCGTGAAAACGAATTAAAGAATAATGCTGTTTTTATCACAAATATTTTAGGTACGAAAGTGAAATTAAAATGTCCAACTTCTTCAACCATATTAATATTTATAATAAATTGCGGAAATAGTTAACATACTAAAAATATCAGTCAAGATTGAACATTAAGGAAATTAGATGTAGAAATGATTAATACCAATGTTCAAAATCCCACAGCTTAAACATGCCTTACATTTGTCTAGATCATGTTTCATAGCCATAGAGTATGTACTACTACCAAAAATGGGAAATTAAAATGACTGTTTCAATCCAACTACCATAAAACTACTAGTTTACTGCCAGCACCATAAAATCTCTCGATAATATTTTATCAAAAACTGTTTCGAGTTTCGAGTACGATAATTTTTATGACGTGTTGCATAACTCCAATACCATAACACTAATAGGCAGGAATGTCTGATAAATACTTAGACATTTTAAGGATCATATCAATTAGTTTGGTTGAAAAACAAAGATATTTACGAGTAATGGTGAGACGATTTTCCATTTAACTCCCCCCTCTTATTACCTGAGAGGAAATAAATCACAACACAATAATGTGAAGATGAGTTTTATCAACAGATACCAGTTTGTGATCCAAACTATCTTCCAATGACAAAAGCTACTACAAGCAAAATTTATTCATCATAATTATATACAAATCCGAGCGTATATATTCAGTCAGTCAGTCACAACGTAGAGCCTCATACGTATATACATCGGTCAAGTCGGTTCAAGTTGAAATACACCGTTACCACACAGAGATGAAATTGTCAACACACGTCCCAGTATAGTAGAGGTAATAACAGTACCAGTACTAACAGGAAAGATTAGGCATTGAAGATACGATTCCAGAAGAAAATATGAAGTAGTAAAATAAAAACACAAAACAAAAGTCATGAAGAATTTAAGAGCTCGGAATTTTGGGGAAAACAAAGAACGGATGCAAATGCACCATTCTAAACGATTTGAAGCCATCTCATTTAAAGCCTTTAACCATCGGTTACGATAATCACACGGATCCCAACCAGGTAGTCTACATCTATTAACATGTCTCAGTCCAATTGTCGGTGACTTCATGAACTGATGTCACGTTTTGAATTGACAACCACTAGTCTTCTTTCGGCCCACTCCTACACCAAAAAACATCGACCGCTGAGGTAGGCGGTGGTTGGGCAAACGTAACACATGTCCCAACTATCTCAGGAGGCAAGTTCTACCTATTATGTACAATATAAAGACATTTGCGACCAAACTAGCTAGAACTGGGTTGAAACCTCTGGACTGAGGATGAGCCGAGTATCTACATTTACTAAAATTCTCTTGTTAAATTCAAGAAACTAACGTATTTTAAAATTAATATACTGAAAATTACCTGGAATGTTGACGTTTGTATTGGCGAACACATTCACTGCCCACTAAAATGGAAATTAAAAAACCAGTTTTTAAAAAAATATAAATTCTATGGGTGACCAGTCAACTGAATGATACATAACATGAGTGAAAATATGGACGTTTTTAATTTGATGAAACTCAATAATAAAATACAGGTTCCCATACTCGGTATTTAGTGGTATTTATTAGTTAGAACCAGTGATATTAATCGAAAACTTAAATCAAGTAAGCGAAGTGATGTTCGAACCTGTTGTCTAAACGTTGGAAGTTAAGTACTTTTATCATTAAACTTCGTAAACTGAGGGATTTCATACAGGTTACATGCTAGGTGAGGGGCGGAAGTGTAAACAGGCTATTGTGATTAAAATGGATGAAATCCGATCAACATCACCACCTATCTCTGTCTGGATCAGGCAATATATATATACCTAATATATATATACCTATGAGTTGTGTACGTTGTTGACCCTTCAGCACAAATTTCCCTATGTATTCCTAGTCCTCTTTCTACGGATAGTTGCCAAGCAAAAATAGGGAAAATTATTGTAAGTGAATCATGCCAATAGAGCTGTCAGGTCCCGATAAGCATAATGAATGGTAACTTTGGGATCCGTTTATTGACCAATACTAGACGTATACTTTTATCGTAGAATTGTTAAATAACTAAACTATTCATATTCATATTCCTCTTATTATAAACTTTATTTCTACCTATGAACCATTATAATACGTTTTACCATTCTTGAATTATGCTCTGCCTATTAGTCACTGCCTCCCACATTCACAGCCACATTTGGCCAAATCTTTTACAAATGTTGCTTTCTATTTTATGCTACGTTGTGGCATGTTTGATTGGTATATAAACCCCGCATGTTTGAAATGAATGATTCATATTCCAGAGGCTGAGATTGATGTCCTGGACTCAACTGGCTAGGCTAGACAGGAAGCGAGACCAATCAGGACTCTAGACTGCTCATACGGGTTTACGTGTCATTGATCCGATCGATAAGTCACTGCTCCCTAATTGGCGGTCACCAGTTGTAACAAGAGCACAATTAAATCACTGCGCAGCAATAACTATTGCATCCAATATAAGTTGGTTGGGGAGCTATGATGACAGTCATCAGGTCGAAATGGGGGATACGGCCACCAGCCATACATACGAACCACTTTTGGAAAGTCTGATATACAAGTGTTGTGAAACTGAAGTACATCTCACACTGTTGCTTGAGCGGTATTAGAACTGATTATTTACCACACTATAAACTTCCTTGCAGCTTTACACAGTATATATGACATTTTAGTCCTAATCTCGAGAACAATTACAACCAGGACTAGACAACACGCTTGAATGCATCAACACCCTACCCATTTACAATAGCAAGATTGATAATCCCATCTATATATTCTGCCTCGGTTTGGGCACCCGGGCTGTATCGCAGCCTTCACACATCGAATGAGATTTGTGTAGCGCATATGTATTTGGTGCCTCCTTGTACAAATATCTGTGTTAAAATAAATAATAATATTCTGAAGAGCGATAACGCATTACCAATGGTACTAGATTGAGTAACTAATGATATTAAGAGTGCATCATCAGTCACATCCAAATGAATCACATATGAATGGAGTGAACTTGAGGTATTCAGCTATCGAAACTTGAATAAATGCCGTTTCTTAAGTGCATAAGACTATAAATAGTGAGCAACCGAAGCCTTTGAGAACTACTGCTTGCTACAATTAGGGAAGGTAGTTCAGGTCGCAAAAAGGTTTGAAAATATCAAGACAGTACATTAACACAAGAGGTTTAATTTAGTGTGCGCTGTACACCGAGAATTGGTAAAGAACTTATGTACACATGAAATCTGCCAAACATCGCCGTTCGTACTATGAAGTGGAAGTATCACCTGGTTTCATAAATGCAGGCTGAAATGTAAACGGCAAGATATTGAATTAGTTGTAATATACTACAGTCTAGAATGTGTAGTAGATGATCTCCTCCTAAGCAAACTTAATTTCTGGTGTAATAGGGGTAAAAGCCTTAAGGTAGGCGACTTTAATGCATCGTATATAAACTGGGAAAACTTAGAGGTGGGTCCCCCAACAATTACATTTGATTGCAAATTGTTAAAAACCACAATCTCCCTAGCTTTATTCCAGAACACTAGAGATCCCATCAGACATGACTTACGAAGCTCCTCGTCTCTCTTGGGCTTAGTCTTCGCGGTGATGACGTCGGTCGAATGACTTTCCTCTCACCTCTAGGAAGAAGTGACCATGTCATCTTATTTAAGTTCATGGCTGAGATCACCCGTTAAGCAGTTGCACCGGCCCGTCCTAACATATGGAGGACAGATATGAAGACGATCAACTCTGCAGCACCAGCTGAAAACTGGGTAACTGACTCAGGGGCATCGGTAGAAGAGCCATGGACTCATTTCAGGCATTTATACAACCAGGTAACTCAACCATATATATCCTGGACAGTCCCAAAGAAGAAGCACAGCTATCCCCAAATAGGCCGGGATGTTCGACGTTTACTAAGACAAAAGAAATCCTGAAACATCGCCATCAGTCTTGTCACAGCAGGTACAATGGAATGCTACAGGTCAGTACGAAATAGGTGTATAATTACAATCTGAGAAGGTAAGCGAAAATATGAAATGAAGTTAGCCCAATCCGTAATCAAGCAACCTAAAACCATTCTCGCACATAAATTACGGAACAAGGACGCAGCATTGGATTCCTAACTTATTTACGGAAGGGGTGGATCTGAAATGATGGAGAATGATCAGAAAATGACAGAGGCTATGGCAAACTATTTTGGGGCAGTTTTTACTCGTGAGCCTCTTCTGGACGAAGAACTAGACCCTAATAAGAAGTCAACAAACTGTTTGCTTGCTGTGGACTTTGAACGAGACAATGTACTTAAGGCTCTTAGAACTTTAGACGCGGAAAAGTCAACAGGACCAGCCGAAATACATCCTAAAATCTTGAGACTAATTGCACAATATATTGCAGTCCCACTGGCTGTTATATTAAATATGTCGCTTTGCCAAAGTGAGTTACCTATGAACTAGAAGGATGCAGTAGTCACTCCAATACATAAAACAGGACACTGAGCTTCAGAAGAGGATTACTGTATACATTACTAATATTATTTTGGTCTACCTACTATGTAGTTTCTTGTAGATAGTTTAGAGCCAAATTTTTCGTGAAGGCTCGTGATACTACTCAGCTGGTCAAACCGAATAATGCTGACCAGTTCCGATCTGAGGCCCGCAGACTGACTAATCTCAAGCAGGAATTCGAGACACCAATACATTGACCATGTCAACACGAGGGAAATCTCTATTAAAACCTAGTATGTTGTGAAATCAAAGAAATTTCGGGATTTAGCTTCAAATAAAACGTCCTATCACGAGATTACAGAGTAAATTACATCTATTTGACTAAAAACAGCAAAAAGCTACTTACTTGGTTTAAAGTCATAGAACTGAAGCAGAAATTCCTCAGCTCTAGGATCCTAGGTAGGTTTCAGTCTAATAGAAATAATATTACCTCTCCCAACATATAGATGCCTGGATTAGCTTCGATTTCTTTCATAGCTGTCATGAACTGTGCGCTTGGCTTTGGCTTTCCCCACTTATCTTTGAATTTCTCGTAAGGAACAATATTCTTGACGGAAACAAATGAACTGTACAAGGTAAAGACAAAACTCAACAAGCTTACACTTGATAAGTTCCGTAGAAAAATATAGGAAGTTTTCCTTTGGGTATTTGTACATCATGTGGAAGAGGATTTACCTACAAATATATTAGGACTATCGTCAAAATACCCTAGCAGGCCAGTTGGGGAATCCTTTTATCTTAGCGAAAACTTTGTCGCCAGGGGAGTGAGACATTGATTCTTCCCAGAGTAAGTGCCAGTAAGTAAGCAAAGATACGCTGAGTTCCGAATCACCGCGCTTACGTCGTGATTGATTCTAACAAGTACTCATCGCCAGCTAATGTTTTGAGTCTCTCGAATCTCTTTGGGAAACATATAAGACTTCCATGCACAAAATAATTATGCCTTCTGAGTTCATTTTTGATTGAAATACTAATGAATGATGATATAGAATGTCACAAATATGGCTCATTTAACTTTGGATACTTGTGGACTAAGCACATTAGGACGACGTAAAAATAAAAGTTCAAATACGAGATGCACTAAGTACAAGTATGCTCCAGGTGCTAATGTGGTCAGGGAAACTGAACGAGTGAATGTAGAGATTGAAATATCCAGACTAGAGTAGCAGTGAGAACCTAGGCATTGCAAAATAGACAACTTATTTTATACTGTAGCGGTGTCTCCACACACGTACGATTTTGGTTCGAAATGCACTTACATACACTTTTTTCTTTTTCAGGATGGCTGGAAAAGACGAAAAAGGAACGACGAACCGAAAATTTCATTGTACCTGTTTCTTTATTACTATATTGTATTAGATGGCGAGCGCAGCTAAAATATGTCAAAGTTATCAATGAATAGGCAGCACAAACATTTATTAAAGTAGACAAGGAAAACGGATATCAACATGAATGCACAAAATATAGTCAACAACACTTCAGTTAAACATGAGAAACTAGGAAAAGAGTCTGATAATGGTTTGTATCAGTGTGTCATAATGGTTTACTGTACAACTAGTCGACCGTTTTTAAGCAAAGGTGGATAGTGACTAGCAGTGGAATCCAGGATGTGCGTTTCGTCCTTTTCGGAAATGTCAGCCGGATGTACCTGCATCCCAGAGTTGATGTTCGCTCCGGGACTCGGATCCATCACCTTTCGCTTCAAACGCCATCGCATTATTGACTCAGCTACTGAGTCCTGATAGCCACCAGCCTATGCAATAGGGTGAAGTTTAAATTCACTTGTTGTTGTCTTACTTGTATCCTCCCATTGTTATTTAAGATTGCAATTGATCAGTCTCATGTTTGCATATGCGCAACCTGGGCGGATTGCCTCGATATAGCGTTAAGTGACAAGCTTTTTAAGCGAAGATGGATAATGGATAGTGACGGAATCCCATATGCCAACATGAGACTGATCAATCACGGTCCTAAATAATAATCATAAGTTACAAGCTAAACAACACCAAGTAAATTTAATCGCTTGTTTGTTATAAAATGATTAGGAATCACTGGCAGATCTAGCATCTCGAGGAGGTCATCAACTTAGTATTTCTGAATTTATCTGGAGGTAGATTTTCAGCAGTTAATCAAGCAGAGATCCGTTCATAACGTCTTCCATGACAACTGTATCTGCAAACGTAAGCATACTGGATTGTAACTTGGTGAACCACTTTCGCGTGTGAGAACAACCGAACTTTCAGTGGGGAAGTGGTTTATAGTAAGCGAACAAATCCATTGAGTTATCAAGTGAAAATACAATAAGTTTTGACTTTCTTTCAAAACCCATGGTCGGAATCTAATGAATTTTAGAAGCTTGTTCGGATCTAGGCACTTTAGAATGTCTTCAGTTTCGAGAGACTGAAGGCTTAGATGCCTAGAAAACTACGTCAGGTAGTTCTCTACAAGTTAAGAATAACGAAACTGGAATTACTGATAATTTGCCATACCTGATTGACACTTTGCGATCATTTCTTTTTTTCTTTTTTTCAATACAATAATCAGTCACCAGATTTATAAGCAAGAAGTCACTCGTTACCAGTTAAACGCTCAAATATATTGGTTCCAATTGGAAAAGACCTTTATTATGAGATAAAAATTGAAGAATTAGAGAGTGATATGTCGGCCTGTGGACTGTTGAATGTTAATATTAAACTAATTTTTATGTGTTACCACGTTTTCAGGGTCGTGCTGACTTGTTAATATCATTATTACCGACGTCACCTTTGCCTGTGGTGGTTTCGGCTAAAATTCATTTTGATTTGTCTGTCATGAATGCGCTTGTTTGCGTCTGGTGTATTTACTTCTTCTTCTTCCAGGCTCTTTCCTAGCAGTTCAGATAATTCATATCCCAACATATATCCACTGACCCTTGGAAAATGACCTGGTCGCCAACTTAGACGAGTAGATTCGATGCTTCTGAGGACAACAATATGTGCTTTGTCGAACTCGGTTTTATTGATTACCCCTACATAATTTCGTGATAATTCGTAAGGACCGTTATGTGACAGATTACATTGAAATGGTAAGAAGTATCATTCGTATTCCTGTCAAACTCATAATCCTGGCCTTCAAAGTCTCCTATCAACACTGGTTTTTGTTTATCACAATTGAACAGCTATGTTCAGTAATTTTTCACATTGTGTCCAGTTGTACAAGGGCTGTCGTAATAAGAACTTTGTTTTACAACTGTCCCTAATCGTATGTAATTCGTCGAGGCACAGATACTAAGTAGTATTTTGAGCCCCCTCAATCACCGTCCAATAATAGCTGTCTTGAAACTGATCTGAAAATAATAAATCAATAGATCTAAAGAGCATCATTAATATCTATCAGAATTATAGGGCGAGCCCATGAAGAAATTAACAGTGCAGTTACTCCTCATGTAAGTTAGTGGTACATAAGGCCCTTTATTTTAGTGAGATTAGATTCCTCTGTGTGATTATCGATAAAACGATGAGAAACTCACATTTTCAATAGTCAGAGGGTTCACTAAGTATATCAACCTGTTTCTCAAGCTCACCAACATATCCTTGACAAATAGTGTTATAAGTAGGGCAGACAGTTTTGACCGTTCATCGGATGACTCCGTTGTATTCAAGTTTTCTTCGTTATCGTCACATTTTTAACAGGTGATATTAGACTGCGAGGAGGATGCTTAAGAAGGCATCCGCATTTGTATCATTATAACTTACAGTTTAGTGCTGTTGGAACAATTTGTGCTCAAGTATTGTGGCTTGAAATTGTTTACATAAATGTCGAATTAAATTCGTTACGTTGTTGTAGTACAAGGGCCGTGGATACTGTACTTTGGGGTCACTTTATTGAATTTGTCCAACCGATCCGCTACAACATCCAACTTTTATCTAACTCACTTGCCCAGCCTGCCACTCAGCTAAGTTCCAAGAATTCTTCGAGCACTATGTTTTTATCGGCAAACTCACTCATAGCACTATGGGAACGGGTTAAAAGCATAACCCAGGCTATATTTAACTTCACGATCTTGAGCGACTTTGCTCAAGGTTGAAATTCAATGCTTGAGGTCCTTCGGGGTGTGTTGACCGTTTGTAAACGTCCAAGAGTTCGTGGCGTACGCATTACTAATCGGTCTATTGGCGTCCTTAAAATTAACTAACCGTACAAAACCATCTCGAGTGTGTTGCCTTTTCTTAAGTGCATACACTGGATTTGCTTTTGAGTAATTGTCTGTTAAAAAGCTTCCGCTACACCCGCGTCGTTGAAAAGTGAATTGTATTTTAAAAATAACATACTATCAGTAAATACAATGACACGCAATCCCATGGACTGTCTATTTACGTTAGTGAGAAGACGTTTAACATTATCGGTTTACCTGGGTGATGATAGACAAAAGTTTCTTGTTTCGGATGGTTTAATGAACCTTGACGGGTAAGATAGCCTAACTCCATTACTTTGTAGACTACACAGATTCACCATATCCAAATGGAGAGACAACAGATTAATGCGAAAAATTTCTCACCATATAGATGGAAAACCAGTCTGTTTTATAATGTGCAAATCCAGGCTTCTTCGTGACATCGATCTGAATTACTGATAAAACATGTATTGTCAAGTACTTAAGTGCGATCGATAAGTCGATTGAATATCGACGGAAAAAACATTCGTTATAGGCTAATGAGAGCTGAATCTGTGATAAAACCGTTTGATATATCTTTGGAGCAGTCCAAAGTGTAAAGAAACCGTAAAGACATAATTATCAGTCTGGTTAATAAACCTGCGTCCCATTATTCTAACCAGTGGTCTTAAAACTGATGGGACATATTATTCGGATGTCTTTTCTGGACTGTGTGAGAGGAAATGAAGTTTTAGCCAAGGAATAATGTAGGATTGGGGATGACATTTCACGCTCGAAGGGAGTATCTAATACTGGCTTGTTGTGTACTGAACGACGTCAATATGTTTCATCTTCTCTTTCCATTTTGGGCTGATCATCTGAGAGGACGTTCCAAGAAGATTTGTATGGCCAGAGAAATGTCACAGAACCATACACTAATCATCCGGTGGTCAGGTTATTGGGTGTCGAACAGTTCATCGATCCTTGTCAAGATCAAGAAAAACCAGTGCGTATCGCTTAACTGCACTCCATAAATTAGCCAATGAAGTAGTGGTCTCACTCTGTTTGTTATACCTACTCTTACTAATACACTTCTGTGATAACGTCATTCGTATTGTATGGGCATCAAAGTAGCCATAGTACCTTGGTACGATGAAGGGGTAATCTATATTAGGTACTAACTATAAAGTATGACTTTGACGTTAGCTAGTTGGTCACATCATTCTCATCTAACTCGAGTAGGCTTCTAATAATTTAACCCAGCTCATCTACGTTAGTGATCTAAACTGGGATTTTAGTTTAATAAAAGGTGATCGACCTCCTATCCCTACTACTGAAGACGAACTAGTTCGTAGTGAAACATAATTGTCACTTTAACCATTCAATTAACAATGTTGTATTTTATGAGATAAAAATTATGCTCTCCTCTATACACTGTGTTGAAGTACTGTAAATGGTGCGATCCAATGTGACGTTCAAAAACGCGATTCAGAATACGAAGCAATTACCAAATGGATTCGACAGGTCTTTAGTCGTCCGATTATTCGAATTCTAAACCCATCAAATGTTTACTACTGTATTATTGTCATTACTTAATATGTCAAGTTGTCAAAACTTAAGATTTTGAGTTCTTTGTTTTACACCAAAATCATTCTTTTTATTTATCAATACTTCCTTTTATTAACCTCCTTATTCCACCATATAAATTCCTAACCCCA